ATGAATATTTGAAGGATTATGACATGTCAAAGGCGGAAAAAACCATAAAGACCCCAAAAATGGTTCAAAACATATTATCAAGGGTTCAAGAAGTATGTTTGCCAGTCAGTTTGATATGTACCTTTACATTGTAAACAAAGTTGTAAACCAAGATTAAAAAATGACAAAAACCTGGGCGAAATTTGTACAAAAGTCTCTGACATAGGATTACAGCTAAGGGGATCGAGATACATAATCAATGTCATCCCTGCAGGGTTGACATTGATTATGTATCTCGTATGTAAATCAAAACCAGAACACTCCTCAAAAGTCCTGCATATATTATACACTTGATTTTTCGTTTCTTTTGATCGTTCTTAAAGGGTCTTAGCAGACTTTGTTGGATCAAGTTTGGAACCATTGCGACAAACGGAGCTGATATACTTCGGGAGAACGTTCCTTACAATTACTACAAAGATCTGATTGACATCAACTGATCTGAATAGTAATCCAGTATAAATATATAGTGAACTTTCAAAAACAAATCAGGGTTGAAACAGCTACTTCAAGTACGTTCCTAATTTTTTTGGGGGGGAAACTTGATCACACCTTGTATACATAAAAATCAACTCATCACTGTCAACAAAAACTTTGCACGCTTTTAAAAATCAAACATGAGTAATTTCTAAAATGTTAAGTTTTATGTGTGTTTTACTGCATAGAATTCAAATATATTATTTTGTTCCCTACAGGGTGTCCCAAAAAAACATGGGAATTCAGTGACGAATTCGATATCGTCTTTGTTATGAATTAGCACTGTAATACCTAATTTCAAAAGCCATAATATTATTATGTCTGCTAGAGTTTATTTGATGAAAATGGTAAAAGACTGCAAAGATGTGTCTATAATGTCTCCGCAAGATGAACAGTGAATACGGACAAGTTTACATTGTTTGTATACTGTAATTTTCTTGTTTTATTAAGTACAACCGGTTGCAGTCAAAACATAAACAAACAAAATGTAAACATAGCTGACGAAACTCTTACAGATTACAGCTTTCTCAGTAGGTATCACTATACTAAATCAAAGAATTATTTGAAAAGACGATATCGAATTCGTCACTGAATTCCCATGTTTTTTGGGACACTCTGTACAAGGACGTGCACAAAAGTCGTCTTCTATGAGAATTTCTATCAAAATAATGTATACTTTTTAGTTTGGAGCAGTAGAGGGTTTGGGACAAGTCCTATGATCAGTTGGCAATCGAGTTTAATATAAGATAAAATACGATTTGAATACCGAGCTGAAAACTTTAGAATGGATATCCTTAATCCCGATCTGTTAATTAATCTGGAGATTAATAACATGGAGAACTTAAGCATTATTTAATCTCGAGATTAAGAAAAAGAGTATATCAAGCATTAATCCCGATATCCACCATTCAAAAGTTCCCAGCTCAGGAAACTTTAAATGCAGATTTTGAGTCGAGAATTTTTTAGCAATTTTCAGAGCGAATTCCACAGTTAAAGAAGAAAATCCTTTGGAAATATATGTATACTATATTTCTTGCAAAGTCAATTGTATAATGTTATTTGTTCTATTTTATATTGATTTCTGGAACATGTTGGAAAACAAGTTGGCAGCCTTCCATGACAAAATGATGTACCCAGAAAACATTTTTAATGACTTTTTGTGCCGTGCGATGGCGAAGTTGTCGGGTAAATAATTCTGGACTTTATAAATGTTCGCAATCGGTTTGTCGGAGACTGTAAATGTTTGCATGGTAAAGTAAGTCTTATTTACTGTAGCAATTGTTCAAAAAACTATTCATTTCTTCATTCGAGCTATAGAATTATTTGATATTTCTCAATGGTGATACAGGGTGTCCCACGAAACATGAATTAATTGAAGGTCGTCTTTTATCTTTAAAATAATTTGAGGCAATCCTAAACCTTATTTTAGAAGTAAAATTATAGAGTTAATAATATCAAAAAATATCCCTAGTCTTGGAATTTCCAAAATGGGGTCTGCCTTTTTGTGCTCTCAATATTACCGGAGATATGAAGAATTTTGTTAAGATTTTGCCAATTTTGGTTTTATTTAATCAATTTGGTAAAAAAATATTGCTTATAAATTATCTTTTATTTTACGCATAACATGCATATTGAATAAATTTAATTGTATGTTTCACTTAAAAGAAAAGATTGTATATGCTAATTCACTTTTCCTTTTATAAGTCCTATAAGATAACACAATTAATGGCCGTTAGGGTTTTAAAAACCATTCATATAAAATTCATATATGTTTTTTAAAGAAAATTACAAAACATTTTAGATGAATTTTAATTATCATGTAATTGTAAATTGTAAGTAATTGTAAAGTAATGTACATATTAGCATATGTTTTTTCTTTTTGTTGCACCTTTTGTGTAATATATGTATTTGTGTGCAGTCATTGAAAATAGTTTTTTTGCTTTATTTGATTATAATAGTTTTCATTTTTAATCACGACGCAAAAATGGTGTTAAATGTTGAGTTGTTGAGTGAAATTATTAAATTAATTTTAAAAAAGTTAAAGTATGCTATAATATTTATTATTTTTACAGAAATCTGTAACAATCTTCAATGCATTAACTTAAGTTTTTGGAATGTTCAAAATCTAATCGTCGTTTCAATTTTTCAATAAAGAAAAAATACTGCGATCTCTGAAAAGTTTAAAATTAGACAAAAAAGTTCATTCTTGTAAGCCAAGCTTTAGAAGTATATTTGTAATTGACGAATGATTTACTAATGATTATGTTATTTGTTGTACTTTGATTTATAAATGTTAATGCCAAAGTCAGCCGCTAGATGACTCTGACAGTTCATATTTTTTAATGACAATAATTTCATGATTATATCAGTCAAATTTCAATACTATCAAAATATTGCAATGAAAACGGATCGTAACCAACTAGAAGCAAACTTACTTGCAAATTTCAATATTGAAAACAAAATCTCTCTGAAGAAAACTAACATAAAAGAAGAAATCAATGTCAGTAAATTCAAGCATTTTGCTCAAATAGAAATTCAAGCAATTAGTCTTTGTCCGGGTGAACCTCAGTGGTCTGGGGTGCAGGCTTCAAACCTGTAGGCGTCGTGAGGCGCAGTGGTTCGATTCCACCTCCTGGGCGAAGTTTTTGTTGTCCTTAGGAGCGTAATCAGTAATATGTTCAGGGCCTGAACCCCCTGAAACCATAAATCTTGGTGATCAACGGGGGTAGTGCTGACTGCTGAGCCCCCAAAGCACTTCCATTCTGACTCATATCTTTCTCAACCAACGTTTTCTTCTCAAAATATCGTCAAAAGTCCGTTTCTATCCTTATGATATTCCAAGTATACAAAAATGTACAGGGTGTCCCAAAAAACATGGGAATTCAGTGACGAATTCGATATCGTCTTTGTTATGAATTAGCATTGTAATACCTAATTTCAAAAGCCATAATATTATTATGTCTGCTAGAGTTTATTTAATGAAAAGGGTAAAAGACTGAAAAGATGTGTCTCCGCAAGATGAACAGTGAATATGGACAAGTTTACCTGTTTGTATACTGTAATTTTCTTGTTTTACTAAGTACAACCGGTTGCAGTCAAAACATAAACAAACAAAATGTAAACATAGTAGACGAAACTCTTACAGATTACAGCTTTCTCAGTAGGTATCACTATACTAAATCAAAGAATTATTCATAAAGACGATATCGAATTCGTCACTGAATTCCCATGTTTTTTGGGACACCCTGTAGATACACATAACGAACACAATTTCTCTATTTAATACTTACATTTTTCGCTCCGTTTTGAGACTTGGGTGTACTACGCGAAAAATTACGATTCCAAGTTCCGAGCAAGAAAAAGCCAACACAGGACCTTGAGATTTGAACAAAAATAGAAATGTTATATACATAAATACGAACAACCAACTTTACAAAGATTATTGTTATAAAATGTCGAATCCGTCCTGAAATAGCTAATATTCCTCCATAATGAAGGGACAGTAAGCGTAATTTCGAGTAACCTTTCTTGCAAAGATGCCCATTTTCCAAAGAGTATATGTTTTCCTGTAGTTTAGGTCAAATTGAATCTAAAGAGGTTTCCTTTGTTATTCCCTGAATCTGTGTTCCTTTCTTTGCAAAATCATTAAAAATATTAAAAAATATTTCAAAGGCAGACATCTTTATTTTAACTTGGTAGTCATATTTAATGAAGTATATGTCGTATTTATGGTCTCACGATTCATGTCGCTCAGCAGCTATGTAATTCATTATCAATGTTTACATCAGTTACGTAAAACAACTGGTCCATATATTCGTTCATTTTTCTTAAAATATTTCCCATATAAATCAATTTACTCGTATTTTTCTGTCTGTCAAATAAATCATTTCTGCAGATGTTTCATAATAATGGTTTTAATTTTAATAAAAAAAATTCGACTGGAAACCCTCGATCTCGATTCATTCAGAAGGGAAAAAGTTAGAAAAATGTATTTATACAAGTGTGAAGTGCTTAAAAGTATGTTTTTCCTTAACTCTGCTCAATTAAAAACAAATTAATTTGTAAACTTCTTTGAAATTGGATAATAATGAAGCCGGTTTTAACGAACGATATACTTATATATGCACNATGTGGATTTGAATTTCTAGGAATCCTTAGAATTTTAAGAATCCTTTTATGTTTCTTGAAAATGATTCTAGAAAAACATTTATCTTAGGATAAGTTTTATTTTGATTTTGCTTTCTCCATGAAAAACTTAATTAAATTTTCCCTCCAATTCTTAATGACATCATGTTGTACAGTTAAATAAAACGTTGTCTTTAATAAAGTTACGGCACCTCTTCGAAGTTATCATTTGCTTGCAAATTACGTCTCATAACTCCCACTTGAGTTCCGGAATTCATTTGAACTCATGTTTGTAAAATCTGTACATTCAGAAAAATTAAAAAAAACTACATAAAATGGTGTAATATTAAATATAATAAATATTATTGGTTAAATCAAATTTATTTACGGGGCCGAATATTAGCTGTTCACAAATTAATTTTCCCGCTAATTTTCAAATTCTGAGATCAGATAGTTTTTCAAGTTTTTCCTCTTTAAAGTAATCGAAATTATGCAAATTTGTTTAGGTGACCTTAATAGCTTGTGATTGTTAGCACATTTGAAAACTAACGGGTTTAACATGATATGAACATAAATTTATTAAATTGTTTTGAAGCAAAAATAAATAGAGAGAACAATTTCGAATTTTCCATAAAAAGTTTCATAACTTAAAAATTGCCGGGTAATGGTGGTTTAAACTATAACTGTAAATAAATTACAACAAACAGGTATAAATGATTAAAATATAAATTCTTAAAACATACTTTACATATTTATTTATATATCAAAATACTTGTGAAAATTTAAAAATTCCTTTAACTGGTAATCCTATTCAAAATTTACAATTTAATCATTTATATAAATAACAAGTATGACGATCCAGACCTTAGAACGTTATTATCCAAATACCGAAAGCCTAAACATTCGCGCGATTTTCGTAGTTTCGAAATATTTTCAAAATTTTGTCGTTTGCCTAGAACGGATATAAGGTCGGAGACATGTTCAACCACTGATCGTTGGTTGGATCCGTTTATCTTTGATCCTGGTTCAGCCCTGCGCTCATCCAACCCGTCCCGGACACTGTCGTCTTTATCAATGAGCACCTTGATGAGCTTAAGCATGAGATCAGTTGGTTCATCCTGTAGACCAAAAGATGGAGGGGCGGGGGGGGGGGGCTTCAAATAACAATTAATAGAATTTTTCCAGATTAAAGTATAAGATGGCTGATATTGTTAAATCATGTTTGAATCCCCTCTGGTCTGTTGGATGCTTAAACATCTAGGATTGGATTGAACGACGGAGCAGGGATCTGAACAGGATCATATTTTAACATTTGAGGCACTTGGTCCACTGTGTGGCGGACACCACGCTAACCCGACCATCCGCCTTAAATAAGTCCGGGGTCAGGCGAATATCACATTTAAATTTTCCCCACAGAAGTGGCGGGGCGGGAAGTTTACAAAACTGACATGACGGGAAGTTTCCCCCATTGACATGGCGGGAGTCTTCCCATGAAGATGTGAGGGGGAATAGTAGAATCCCGTATCTTCATCTAATGGGGGAAACTGAGTGAGTTTTCTGTCTCATTTCCTTGAGTTTCGGAGGTCCAGTTGATTTAAGCTCGATTTATTACTTCAGGTCGGGACCAGAGGGTCGTCAAAAACCGACCAATTTTTTTTTTTCAAATTTGAAATCTAATTCAGCAATAACAGACACCAGTTCTCCTCTGTTGGAAGCTGAAATAAAAATAAAATAGAAAATAAATTAAAAACAAATCAAATACAGAATTACCTACAAAGGATGGGACTTCAGAGACGACTGTGCGGAATATATACTGTCCTCATATTCCCAGTGACTATGAACTTCTTTCTTTATTTGCTAAAACATTTAATAAGCAAAGAAAACACACAAGGCAAAAGACTTAATTAAAACTTGGGTTTAAATATTTTTAGAGTTTTAAGTCGTCTTTACAGTCTCATCCTTCGTGGGTAACTAGTAAATGCCATGTTTGTTACAATCAGTGCTTCGTATTTATTTTATTTAGATAAGGGTCCATCTTTATTTTTTAAAAAAGCAAGTTTAAGCATATTTTTTACGTAACAAATATGAAATAGCTTTTTTCTTTTCCCTCAATTATTTCTTCAAAACTCAAAACCATTGAAATTCAAAAATCAAAAGGTTTAAGTTTTAGTATTAATCTAGTTAATTAGTCATTAAGCCCCTTTGCTCCAAAACAATTGCAGATTCAAGGATCCATAATCCAGATGCAATAAAAACTAATCTAATCTTAATTATTTGACCAACCTGTACTTCAGAACTCAAGTCGAAAGAGAAAACTCATTCCGCAACAACTGTCAGTGGATTCACCAGTCCTAGAAAAGCAGACGTTCAATATTGGCGATCCCAGCTTTGCCCAGAATTTTTTCTATAAAGTCAAACTTCTCAACGAAGAATTTAAAAACTAAGCTAACCTAACTTTAGAGTTTCCCTATCAAAACTTGAGGCAAATCGGTCAAGTGGTTCATAAGTTATGATAAGACAGATAAACAGATATTACATGAATGACCCTAGAATGGGTTAACGGATGAATTACTTTATTGCTACTAAATCGGAACTTAAGATTTGGTATTCTCATGAAGAAGCACCAATCCAGATCGTTTATAGTTCAGCGGATTTTTTGATTTCTCTTAAAGTCTAAAAGTCTCAGGATACAAAGGTTTGTTAAAAGATCGATTATTTTCAACTCAGGATTCTCCATAAAAGTGACTTATTGATTTCTTGCTGCAGAAACAAAGGAGGAAATTTTGAGAATTAAACAATTTAAGCCAAAAAATAAGGTTATGGCCCTCTTAAAATAAAAAGCCGTTTTAAATTACAATAGTTCGTTTAATTAGACTAGAGTTGTAAGGTTTAGAGTTACAGAGTTCAAGGAACTGTATTATGCATTAATATGCGTTAATAGGTTAGTTAAAATATTTGCATGTTGTGAATTGCTACAGTAGAGAGGAAAACTACGCAGTAGGCAGTCATATAATTTAGAGAAACATTGTTTTGGATTTTCACTCATATTTTTAAAAGTAGTTGTAAATTTAGTAAATTTATATAAATAATTTTAGTAAAATTTCAAATACGAAAAATTGCAAGTTTTTCTAATTTGAATTTCCAAATTTAACAAAGCAAAAAAATCAATGCAACAAAAGATAAAAACATATTAAAAAAAACATGATTTTCTATAAAATAAAGACATTGAAATATTCTAAAGAATTTCGAATTCCGAGAAAAGTTAAATATCATTAAATTGACATCCAAGGAGTCAAGATTTAATTGACTTAATACGCATGTTATGCTTGTAGTTTTATGAATTATCCACCCCTAGTTTTTACCCTAAAATTGTATTCATGAAAGTTTTATTTGAGGTTGTAATTATGATACAGGTGGTCTTTCGTCAGAAAAAAAGCCAATTTGTTATAATTAGTTGACTTATGATTCATTTAATACTCCCCCCCAAATATAAAACACGTGACCCCCGGTTTGACAGGATATAATAAGATAGGAATAGCAGAGAGAGAGAGAGAGAGAACATTCCAGTATATCTCGGCTTGCATTCACTACAAATATCCACGTGATTAAATCCAGAAGGGGGGGGGGGAGTTTCAGCTGTTCTACAATTCAGCTGATAAGAAGTACAGCCGCTCTATTTCAAGAGGGTTGGAAAGAAATTTCAGCTGTTAGCTTTGCAAACTAGCAAATTGAAATGTAATGAAGGGAGG